AATTGGGTAACAGCTGGAGGTATCAGAGTAATAATTATTTTTATTTATATGTATATATAAACATATGTGAATACACTCATGCACATACACATGCATGTTCATCCACAGATACACGTATATTTAAAAGGAGATACTAAAGCATGTATGTATGCTTATTAAAAAGAATGCATATTACTAGGCAGTTTAAAATATTTAATGTGGCATATAGGCTAAATTGGCAGTATATTTTTTAAGGATAGTTTCATTTTGTCATTGGTTAGCAACCTGCTACCCTGCAGGACTTGATGACCTATGAAAGGATCTCCATAGTACTGAAAACCTGAAGTGGAATTTCCACACACTTGTGTATCAATTCTACTCACATTGATGTGTTTGAATAAAGCAATATTCCGTTTGATGTTAGTGAACAAGAAAAACTCTCCAAGACACTGTCTCTGAAGAGATGTCCTAGAAATGGACCAGCCTGTTATATGTTGAGCATTTTGCAAACAAGGGCCTCAGCCAGGTGTTGTATGTTAACCTTGCAAAGCAGGTTGCCTTATTTCTGTTTTAAAATGAAGATACAGACTCAAAAAGTTTAAGTAACTTATCCAAGTAACAAAAGCTGCACTTTTTTTTTTTTTAAGCAAGTCATACTCAACTTTTTTTTTTTCTAAAGAAAAAAAATAATAAGAAAGTGCTCAGGGAGTCATTTTCTAAAATGAAATCTTACACATGGGCAGCTGTGGTTTATACTGCTCAATTACACTAAGTTTATCTCATCTCCACTTGTTACTTTCCCCAACAGAAAAATCAAACAAATGTAACTGATGGATTTTTGTACTTCAGCTACTTTGAAGCCAGTGGAGTTCTGAAATCCCATCTACCTTTTTCCTATAACTGAAGTCAATTGAGCTAAACTAATACAAAAGCAAACACAAAGTCCTCTAGATTTACCTGATGATAATTCAGCAAATTAGAACATGTTAGCTGGAGGTGGTCCAGTTGCAATTGACAAAAGTCAAAAGTCCATGGTATTCCAAGAACTGAAACGGAAGACCTGCATAGCCCTGCTTCCTCAATATTCCCCGGACCCTATTTTGAATGATTCTCTTAGTAATGCTTTCTACATTTTGGAATCTTTTTTTTTTTTCAGAAATTCGACATTTCATTAGGAAACAAACAAAAGAAAAATTTTAAATAGGGTCCAATTTGGAAATAATTGGCAATAGGTAGATAATACTTAGTTGTAGTTGAACACAAGAAAATATCAGCTCGATATGATGCTAGAGATGTTGAAGCCATTGATTGAAGAGTCAAATGTGGGTATTGGGTTATCTCTAAAAGGAAACATAAGTAAAATACAGAAATAATGAGAAAAATATGTTAATATTTAAAACAGAACCCCCAAGTAATCTATTCAGTCTTGAAACTGAGGTGTAGAAATAGTGACCAAGAGATACTCCATCAATAATATTACCTATTTTTTATAGAAATATACAAAGGTATTAAGATTTTACATACAATGCTTTTTTTGGTATATGACAATTCAATCAGGTTCACAGGAATTATATTACCACCATTTTATATATGGTGTCAATGTAGCTCAAAATAGGAGGCTTGTGTAAGTTATACAGAAGGTCAGAGTTTCATATTCAATGATCATTACTCTAAATCATATTGCATGGATATTTTGGTTTATATTTCAAACTCCCCCCTTCAAAGGACTTCAAATTATTTCCAAAATGTTTCACAAACTAATGTTTTCTAAGATTCCTATACTGTGAAGAATGGGCTGGGTGGGATTGTATCCTAGTTTTGTAAACAGAGAAATTGAATGATCTGTTTTAGGATTCACAGTAACCATTCTAGAGTATTAAATTTTTTTAAAGATTTTATTTATTTATTTGACAGCGACACAGCAAGAGAGGGAACACAAGTAGGGGGAGTGGGAGAGGGAGAAGCAGGTTTCCCGCTGAGCAGGGAGCCTAATGTGGGGCTGGATCCCAGAATCCTGGGATCATGACCTGAGCCGAAGGCAAACCCTTAACCGACTGAACCACCCAGGAGCCCCTATGTTTACATTTTAAAAATAATAACTTAAAATAATAAAAAATTACATTTAAAAAATTTTTTAAAAAGATCTGCTCCAAGGGTGACATTTCTTAAAACATTTCTTTGATTGATCCCAGTATATCTGTCCCCTGGTTTTGTTGTACTTTACTCATTTGTAGCATCAGATATTAGACTGCATTTAATTTTCATCATCTTAATTTCCGTAACTGGTTATACAACTTGATGTGGAAAAATATGGAGTGGATTTTGCTTCTTTAAAAAAAAAAACTAACATAATCTTACTGGGACTGACAGTTCAAATTAATCAACCGCTTCTTTTTTCTCTTCCAGGCAGAGAGGGAGGAGGCGAAAGATTGAGGGAGAGAGAGACTCTGCATTAATGTCAATCAGTGCTTAGAATCTGTTCCTCTAGGTCTGAATAATCAAGTGCACATGGTTTTAATTAGTAACATCTTTGTACTCTGTGCCTCATTTAAATGCTCTTCTTTTATTTGGTGTGTTAAATTTCTGCAATTATTCTTGTTTTTACATGTCTGGAGAAAATAATTCAAACAATCGAATCAACTGGAATTAGCACAGAATTAAATACTGCGGAGAGATGCTTCTTTACTGACAGGGAGAGAGTGACCCCTGAAGAGTTCCTGTTCTCTGACAAAGCCCAGCGCTTTCTCAAACTTCCTTGTACGGATGACACACACTCGTTCATGCAGATACAGAAGCGTGTGTTCCTCCACATTCAAGGAAAAGGGAAACTTCATTTACCACAATCCTGAGATATCCATCTATTTTCACACGGACCTTAAAGCAAAACACACCCTTCGAAAATTAGCCTCAAGTAACAATTCCAGGTAGGTTTGTGCTTAGTGAGACCAAAATGCATCATCAGGCACGGTTCCAGGCACTCACACGTTTCAACCGAGCCTCTGCTCAAAAGGCCTGTTAGAGTTAAGTTGGCAATGGGCTTCTTTCCACTGCGAACATCTGCGTGTGGAGCTCCACACAGCGTTCGCCGCCTGCAATGAGTCCAACCCTGGGCTCAGCCTCTTGCAGCCAGAGCCGGGAGCCGGCAGGGCGCTGGTGCTCACCCCGGGAAAAGAAGGGAGCGCTGCGCAGCGAAATGGCTCAAAGTCCAACGAAAACATGAACTTTTCGTGTGAATAAATAACCTGCCGGTTTGATTTTCATTCCCAAGTGATCCCGGTTCAAACACGTTTCAGCTCAAGAGAACCAGCTAGCATTCTGCTGGCTGCTGGCGTCCCCCACGTCCCTCGCTCAGCCAGTGCCTTGGAAAGCGCGTTTACCTCCAGGAGACGAAGACTGGCCCACCCGGCATGGACGGTTCCAGACCCGCGCGCTAATCCGTAATGGAAGCGTGGGAGGAAAGCACTGTGCTTATGACTTCCTCTGTGCTGTCAGAATCAGAGGAAGAAGATTCTGCGAAATCGTCAAGGAAGGGAGCTAGGGACAGGCGACAGCCCCTCTCCTACCACCCTAGAGAAATTAGTGTTTCGTTCCGCCCCCCTTTCTCCCCCCGCACCCGTAGTAATTCTTTTCCTAATTCTCCTGGCTCAGAAATCTACACTGCCGAAGTTCAGAGCCTGAAGGGTTGGGCTGTGTTACCTACATTTTCCCTCTTCACCACACATAGCTCCGAGGGTCCCAGGGGATGCGATTTTGATCAGTTTTCCAACAGTTTCAACGTTGTGTATTTCAATTCCCCGGCTCACAGCACGCACATCTGCACCCGTTGCAGAGTGTGGGTGGCGAAGCCCTCAGTGACCGCCTTGGGGACCACCCACACAAACCCTTCCTTACGCGTGGCATCCGCCGGTTATTAAGAGCAGGTAGAATGGGCAGAAGTGGGGGAACTGTACAGAGCGGGAGCGAAGTGCCTGCAAGGCCTGGGGAGACTCTGGACCAGAGAGGCTAGCGGGCGGCGTGGGAGACAAGGGGAAATGCACTGAAAACCCAGGCAAAGGGCCGGGTGGGTTGGGCATTGTTCTGGCTTTAAAAGGGCGGGGATGGTCGAGCCCTCCCGCTGACTTTATGCATTTTTTATTCGATCCTTTGTGAAATCAGACTCTTCCCACATCCGTGCAAGGAGCCTGGGCCGTGGGCGGCTCTAGATCTCTGCCCTGGGAACGCAACCTCCCGAGGCTCCGGGCTTGCCACTCTGTTTCGCGAGGCTCCCCAGGCACTGACACTCACATGAACCGCGTCCGGCTGGATCCTCTTAGCTGCTGTGCAACGGTTCCGAACCAATCCAGCAGCGTTTTAAAAGGTAGCAAAGCCGAGATAGATGCCTTTTCTTTTCTTTTTTTCTTTTTCTTTTTTTCGTTCTCTGTCTTTTTATTTTTTTAACTAACCTGTCATTTCTGCTTGGAGGGTCCAAGGAGAACCCACGACCTCTTTACTGTGTCTAACCCACGGATTTCAAATGGGGCTTTTCAGAATTTAAGTATGGTCCCCCTAATTGGTAGTCAAGATTGCTGAGTCTTCCAAAATAACCCTTTCCATTTTCTGTAATTAGAGACCCAAAGAAACTCTGGATTTTCCACGGTACATAATCTATATTTATTCATATTCTATCTCTCTCTCTCTCCCTCTCCCCCCCACCCACTTCCTCGTGCGCGTGTATGCGCGCGCTTGTGCGTGCGTTTCCTTTCATTCCTAGCATTAGGAAACTCGTTCAGGGCCACTGAAAAGTCAGGAGAGGCTCAAATCTGATCTCCCACGGATTCTTACCTCTAATGTCAGATAACGCCCGGAAACGTTGCCACCAAATAAGTATGAGAGTATTATTTTGGAAAAACAGTTAATCCCTACCAAAATATAAAGCGCCAGAGGAAAGAAGGGGAGACTGGAAGACAAGGAAGCTCTTTGCATTCGCTGGTGGAGGAAAGTGCGATCTGGGGAGGGGCTGGGGGGGGTTCCAGTCCGTATACTTCAGCACCGGAGGGGATGGACAGCGTCTCCGGACTGGTCCGCAGCCACAGGGACAGAACTGCGCTGCCCTTGCCGCCACTGTCGTCGCCACGGGCATCTGGGCTCCCTGCTCCTCGCAGCTAAAAGGCGGTGCCTCCTGATACCCCTTGGTCCCCCTTTCCTTTCCTTGATAGACGGAAAGTAACCCTCCTTATCCACCTGCTACAACTACTATACAGGGCTCTGAGGAGTCCTCTTGTTCCACAGATCAAACTCTCAGCAACAACTTCAAGAATAATTCTCCGTAGGAGGCTGGGAGGAATGAAAGCAGGAGCCTGAAGTTGAAGTTCTTAGAGGCTCTGAAAAACCATGGGCTCTGCAGAAGGGGTCGAAGTGCTCAAAGGCCTACACTTCATGAAATAAACAGAATGCTCACGGAGAGTTCCAACTATTTTGGAAACAGCTTTGTGAGAGGAGGTTCCAGATCTAACTACATCCCTACATTAGAGAAACTGAAAGACTTCTAATTCCTTTACTTGGCTGGTAAGTGATAATATACTTACTTCTACTTATTTACAACTCTAATGACTTTTTTTAAGTAAAGGTTTTAACAGAAAGATTATAAAAAGTATGATCTTGCTGTGTGAATTAAGTAGATAATTTTGTTTTTCAATGATGTTCCTGCAGCATGATCTTAGGAAACCTCTTCCCTAATAAAATAGTAGGATATTTTACTTCTGTGAAGCCTCTTATTTGACAAGAATATTAAAAATAATATGTATTGCCTTTTATGATTACAGTAAACTCTTGGTTGAGTATTTTTCTTAGTGCTGATCTAATACATTTTTGAATTTGTGTGTGTCTTTTTTTTTTCAAAACTAATATAATCTGGCATTTTGTAAAAGGGTCTTTCATGCATGCAGTTTAAAGTGATCTTATTTGTTTTATATAGTATTCAAGACTCAAAGTTACAAGTAGAGATGGTTTAGCAACCTCTTCTATTTTATTTTATATGATTATAATTTGCCAAACCAGGTATAAAAACAAACACATGTATACATACACACTTGATCCCTCTCTTTACTCCAACCCCCAAGTATACTTGCACCTGTAGAATTTTACCTAAAGAAATACACACTTTTTTTACTTAGCATAGTCTTTCCAGCCTTTTAAATCTTAAGACGGCTTGCTCAAACCAGATCTGCCAGAAGGGAGAAAATGAGAAGCTTTAGTGTCCCTTTTTAGGAGAGCTGGCTTTTGATACCATTCTGACTTCTTCGTTCTACAGAATGCATTTGTCACTGAAATCCAAAAAGCGATAGGCCAATAGGTTCTTGACAAACCATAAACTTTCAAGTGTTAATTAAATCTGTTTTCTGTTGATTCTTGTTTCTCTTGTCTTCCCCTGGAGGTTTAAAAGTACAAGCTTTCACAGTGACCTTGATAAGCATTCTGCTTTAATAAAAAAAGGTTCACTGGGTAAAGGCAGTTACACAAATTTAAGCATATGCCTGACATTTCCCTAAAAGCTTGATCAATTCCAATTTGAACATTCAGTTCAGTGGAGAGTGTTGACTTGCAAGTATGGACTTCTACAATCATATAAATACATGTGATGCTATATGCATAACCAACACTGTGGAAAGAGTTTGCCCCTTTGAAAAATTATAGTTCTTTAGGTTTCTCTTTTTATTTCATAGTTCATATATAGCTGATATAAAATGTCTCTAATATATATCCATACCTATACTCCTCAATTTCAACATAAAAATCATCTGAGGCAGTTAAGATGGTATTTGTTGGTGAGTCGATGGGCCCTTGTTTTGCATTGGCTCAGAGTGGCAGTTACACTCTGAGGAAAAATCATTCTTAACTGTCACTTACCGCTTACCATGGACCTGCTTGCTTAGCAGAAAGGGAGCAGAGGTATCTATGTCATTGAGCTCCTTGGGGGCTGTTTTGCCCTATATAGGTCAGAAATGATAATCTGAGGAAAAGAAAATGTACCGTTGATTTGGATTTCTTCCCAGGAGACTTACAATGTGCTCCTAACACAACCTCATTTTTTTCCCCTAATTTTAGAGATATGGAAGTGAAATTACCACATGGAATGATAAATCATGTTTTAAGAGAATTACGGCATATTGTTAGACTTTTATTTTGGTTGTCAATTAATGACCATAGAGAGACTCCCCTGGTCGGCAGAGCATAAAAAGAAAGCAGAGAATGTATTCCAGGAAGCATGGCTGTTGGTATGTGGCCGCAGTTACCTTCTTAGTGGTAGAGGGGGCAGGCTTGCCCTATGTGTGGCTGAACTGCCCAAAGTGAAAGTTACCTTTACCTAATTCCTCTGGAGATTTAGTCACAGAAATAAATAACTCAAATTCACCCACCCAAGCTCAGGCAAGGTGCATGGAAGCTCATATCAATCCTTATCTTTGGGGAAATGTCATTACATTGAGATAGACTTTTGCAGACCAACCTAATGCCTACCTACATGCTAATATCTAACTGTCCTCCACTCCCAAAAAAGAAAAAATAAATAAATAAAAAGGGAGTTGATGGGCTAATAAATCAAACCGTTCTTTTGTACTGAATCACCTGTCTTTAAAGAGAAATCAGTAATTTATTCCAGGATATCCATATCTTATTAAAGTAAGCTGTTTTGATAGTTATTTTGGTCTGTTAGAGAAAAAGGAGGCATGTGGTTTGGCCAAATAGTAATTCAGCATCCCCTCTCCTGGGGTTGGGGGCGGGGTAGTATTGTTGGTAAGGATAAGTGTTGTTGGCTGTTGCTTATATTTAAGAGTCAAAAGAGAAAAGCAAAATAGGATTGCATAATCAGGAAAATGTAAGGTGTATATAGGACAGAGGATAATTAACAGTGAGCCCTGGATCTGTTCAATTGCTTTTCTTCTTTTAATAAGAAATAGTTGAGAGTGGGACAGGGAGTTCTGCCCTGAATCTTTAAGTTATGAAATATTATAAAACTGCTTCTTGGTTAACTTTTTCTGTAGGCCATCTAAATATTAATTTGATATTCCAATATAATTACTGATACCATCGTATCATATTGGATTTGAATATCTTCAGTTTGCCTTTGGAATTGTTGCTTGCTATATATGTATTTATCAAAACATGTAGGATTATGAGATGATTATTATTGGAACTTAGGAAGGCCTCTGGTAATTGACTTTTATTGTTGTACCATTTAAAAGATGTGAATTCCAGGCAAACAGCACTTATTCATCCAATTCTAACAAGCAAGGCAAAAGCCACTGGTGAAGAAAAGCATATTGTAAGTCAGAAATTATTTCTATAGTCATCTCACCTCCCAGAAACCTGTACAGTGAGTCATAGAATAGCACTCAAATGGAAAGAGACCTCTTATTTAGTATATTCTTTCTGTTGAGCTTAGGAGAATGAGTTGTACATGGCATGCGCTGAAAGAAACAAACATGCTGCAGTATAAAATATGTTATGCATCATGATGTAGCAGCAGAAGTACTGTTTAACAGTTAAAAGATCAGGATTCTTGAACTGCTTGTCATTAGATCTTGGACAAGTCACTCAACCCACTGAAACTTAATTTTTCTTCCCTAAAAGATTATTTTACCTACCAATCAAGGCACAATGCTTTATATATGGTTGACACCTAAATATTTGTGGGACAAATGAATGGATGCCTACTCTATGAAAGGTTGAGAGTCACGATATGATGCTTTTGAGAGCATTTTGGAAACCTGAGTGCTGTATCTTTGAATTATTATAAATAATCTCCAATAGCATTGATTCCCTCATTCATTGAAAAATTCCCTGCTGATTCCTATATGGTGGACATATCTCTTACATTTAAGAACTAAAGTGTAGGTAATAAAATATTTTCCTGTTAACTCAGCATCAATTTTTTATATCTCTTGATTAAATCACTATTAGAATACAGGTTGGACCTGGTTTAAAAATATTTATTACTCAAAACTGACACCATGTCTTACACCAAATAGTCAAGCCTAGGTCAGCATGACTCGAGTTCATTTTAACTAGTTTCATTTTGACCTTAAATGGATTAGTCACTGCCTTCATGTCATCATTTTCTGGTCTGTAAAAGAAGAATGATATTTAATCCTATGAGTTTTAGGATTAAATGGACTTTAAAACTAAATATCTAACAACACATGTAGATGCATTGGATTTGATTTAGGGTGAGTGGTGATGGAGTGAAGTGTGGACAACATGGACTGATCCATGGAGGTGTCCTGGAAATGCTGTGATTAGTCCAAAGCTTAGACGTCTTCAGGAAATCTCAAGTTAAGCAACATCTCATTGCTTATTTTCTTTCTTAAGTTGGAGTTTTAAAATATGGTTTTTTAAATGTAATTTTTGAACATGTGGTCTTTATAGATTTCTAGAGTATCACTAAAAATATTGTCATAGTATGTTTAAGAAATCTAAATTGTTGTGATGAAAATTATAAAATTACCTAATTAGTGATAGAATTTAAAGATTATTTTTGGTTTTATTTGTTATCGGTTAACCAAAAAGGAAAAAGGAAATAAACTACAAAGAAAGGAAAATGGGAAAAAGGTAGGAAATGAAAGGTTATTAAAATAATGTCATGTGACCAAGAACTTTATCTTTGAATTATCACTGTGAAGCTTGTTGAACACATTCTATACAAAGTGTCAGAAGATCGTTTTAGATTTTCCTAAATTTAGTTTTCAAATTATCAGCAAAACTAAAGTAATAGTATTTTCTTAAATTGAAAGAATCATCAACTCAATGCATTAGAATAGTGGCTAATTCTTTATCACTTCATCACATTTAATGCACATACTTGTATAAGTTTTAAAATTAAAATTTGTAAAGTAGTTATAACTACATTTATATTTAGCAAATATATTACCAGTTACTCAATATTTCAAAGAGCTAAAGATTTAATTTTTTAAAGGAATAAATGCTTACATGATAAATTCACTAAATAAATTTCCAGAAAGTAGGAATCTTTTAGAAATGATATCAGAATTTTAACAATATAATGTTACTCATATAAAACAGTTGAAAAAAATAATACATTTTCTTTAAATCTTCTCAAACAGCTCTATGGTGAGAAATAAATATCTGAGATTAAGAAATTTAAGAATGTTTTGATAAGAGAAAAGTGTCAATTGCATGGTTAAAAATACATTGAGTATATATGAAGTCTAGAATCAAATATAATTGGTTTTCTCATCAACTCATTATGTGATCTTGGGTAAATCACTTTATCTTAATTTAATAGCTTATCTGTTTTCTTGATTCTCTTGGGAATTCATTATCATGTCTGTTAGAAAACAAACACACAAAAACCTACAGGTTTAGTTGAGCTCAAAACTTTTCTTCTTCTGCTTCCCTCAGATCATTCTTCTCGAAAACATTCCCTTCTTTTATGGTGGAAAGTGCATGAGATTTGGGATCAGGTGAATCCTGGTACACAGTCTCATTAGCTATACAAACTTGGGCAAGGGATGTAAATTCTAAGTCTCTTTATTTTCATACGTAAAAGA